CCCCCAACCCCCCCCCCCCCCCCCCCCCCAAGTTTACAGCTTAGTAAGATATACGTGGGTATTCAACGCCAAAGACGATAAAATAAGTGGACCCTAAACGCCGAATGAGCGGCCTATAGAGGCACAGTTGGATAGAACGAATACGGAGAGCTTGTTAAGAATTCAAGGCCATTCTAAGCTGCATAAATCCAAAAGTATCAAGGTGATGATCTGCATCAACAAAGCACGTACGCCTGTATCTGAGTCTTCGACAAAAGATGAACACCATGTACGGAAGACGGACAATGTCCTTCCGAACTGCTGAGATGAGAAGACACCACTGAATCAACGCCGCATATATGATACAGGTGAAGAACTGTACAACATGCGAGAGTGAGGAGTCGGTAGCGTCGGCGTTCTCGTCAACACGAGCTTGTTCAAGAACATCGATTCATTTAAACAACTAACAACCGGAATCAGACGCTTACGATTAAAAAGATGTGTATCAATACCGGCTTTGACAATCTTCGTCCTTTACGTACCGACATCAACCTTTAACGAAGACGAAGTTGAAGAGTTCTAATATACACTTGAAGAATGTTTTCCAGAGAAGAGCATACATTCAGTAAAGATCATTATCGGATATTTTATATCGCAAAGATTGGACCAAGAAAAACATCTGAAGAACGTCGAATTGGCACCCACGGAATAGAATGGAACGAGCAGGGTGACCAGCTATCTGAGTCTATCACGGCGACCAAAGCCATTCGTAGTAACTCGCAATACCAGTAGCCCTGCTGTCAACGCTGGAAGTGGAAGTGAAGAACCACCCATTGGAAAGTACCATAACAAAAATAGAATACGTCGCAAACAGCTTTGCCAGTCATAGCGATAACTGGTGTCTCGAAATTCTGCACGCAACCAGACTATCGTCTCCTTCGTGCAAAATTTATTTCACACGGAAGGGAGAAAAAGCCGCTAAACTGAAAAAGAAAGTTCCAAAACCACCATAAACGCGGATTTATTCAGTTCATTAGTCGGCTTTTAGGAATATGCCATTTCTGACAACACCTACAAAGTATACGATTGGCTTATTCAACATCTTCACGTTAGCGCTATGAAAGGCGAGAGTTCGAAAGTCAACAAGAGACGTTTTCCCACAGAAACTCTAGAGTTGATACGCTAGCGTCGATTCGCACGAGCTATAGACAACCGCCAAGTCATGTTCGAACTTCCAAACCAATGCAGTCAGGCAATAAAAGGTCTTAAAGAGAGGAGAGCAGCAGTTATGATCGCAGCAGCAGAGACTACGAAAAGCATTAGCAAACTCCACCAAAGCTTCGCCAATTGCAAAACCACGATGATTACCCTCCGACGCCCAGACGAAACAGTTACACCCTCCAGAAAGGCAATGGAGAAAATCATTCACGAGTACTTCTCAGATCTCTTCAACAGCAACCTACTTCTCCCCCTAAACGGAATAAAGGAAGATGGATATATTGTACCACCAGTTCTCCCTTCCGAAACCCGACATGCCATTTCGTCAGTGAGAAATCTCACCAGGGTCGGACAGATGAGATCAGAACACCTGAAGAACCTTCATCCACTCCTCGTAAACACACTTTCTCGGTTGTTTACACGTTACCTGTCTGAATGCAAGGTCCATACTCAGTGGAAAAACAGTAAGACCGCGCTATTGTTGAAGAAGGGTGACCCTCCACGATATCGGCAACTATCGCACAATGTTCCTGCTGTCAGTTGTCCACAAACTTTTCACTCGAGTCACCCTAAACAGGATTGAAAGAACACTGGACGAGTGACAGCCATATGAGCAAGCAGGTTTCAACAACGATTCACTACAATGGATGTCAAACGTACTGCAAGAAGGCAACCAACCCCATGCTCGGAGTTTTTTCCCTAGAAGAAAAATGTGATGCTCAAAGGCTCCCTAGAGCGAGCAGAACCCACTTGGTTTTCTACACGACAAGGAGAAAAGGAGCACCCACCTAGTTCACTCAGCAACCAACGGGACGACAAGTAATATGCGTGACCTGTAATACGGACGACGTTGGCTATCCAACTTTGTGTTCTTTGCAGATCTTTGTTTCCAATTTCAGTTGCTTAGTAAACAGCAGTCACTGTTTTAACACAACGCTACTTAGTAACATACAGTTCCATATGAATCTCCAACTTAATTCTCTAAAATCAAACGCAACATCGCCGAGAATTGGCGAAGGCATAGATATTTATGCACCTGACACAATAATTAAACTCAGAAGAGAGAACTATCCCAGAATTACTTCTTCATCTACTTCCGAACACGCTCTAGTGCATCGTTGAGAATATTCACACGTTCCATGGCTTGTTGTTTTCGTAGGTTTTTTGCCTTAACATTCATGTGAATCACGTAAAGATGCACCTACTATAGCACAAACACTGTTCATCGGACAAACCTTTCTGTTCTGGTTCCATTTGAATAAAAGATAAATACCAAAATAGCTCGCAAAGGTTGCTCTGCATATATTGGCGCGTCCAAAATGCTCATGCGGATTTAGATAAGCTCGCTTGGTTTCAACGACACTCTGCCAGAATCCACGAATAGCTTCAGCCATTCTAGCCTTAATAACTGTCCAAATGATAGCATATGGGGCCAAACTAGGAAGGAATGGACAGGACATCAGTAGCACGGAACACACCATTCAAGATTCAATATTCGTCAGCAGATTTATATTTATGAGGACTGGAAGGTTAGTTAGACTTTAAGTCAGATAACATATACAGAACTATTACCATGGGAAAACTAAATGTAGACTATGGCCATGTGACGTCACCGAAATGAAAAGCTATTAGAAGAAAAAGAAATATGGAAAAAAAATACAACATTCACTGGGCTTTAGAAGAATTTGACAACAGTACGCCTTCCAAAGGCCATCTTCGGTGAACTTAAAAAGTTTAACACCTAGAATTACCAAATAATCGATTTACACAGTGCTACGATACTGTCACTATACTATTAAGGATTTCGATAAACTTTCTGTATATAAATACAACATGCAAAAATAAACATTGAGCATACTACGACTTGAGAACAACTCAATCCCCACGACAGGAAAGACAAAAGGCAACCTGACGAGCTAACGGAATATTATCTGATGTAAGAGAAGCTTGTGACACGAGCCAGCTATTCTAACAACGTATTATCTACGGACACTAGAGCTTTTGCAAGTAGTTTTGCCAGTGGATTTGAGTGAGTGTCATTAGAAAGTAGAAGCAACCAGTCCGATAACACCTGAACGTCTGAATCTTGCATACCAGGTAGTAGTTTCCGCCATTTAGATATTGGAGAAGACCTTTAAGAAAAAAGAATAAGAGTATAACAAACCTTCCCAATAAAGTGTAAGAAAATTTTTAGTCTATTAAGAGAGTTCACCACAGATGAAAGAAATGCTCGATATTATTACTCAAAGGTACTATCTGAGGGTGCGTATGGCGCAGCGGTCAGACGTGCCCTGCAACACACCTCAAATCGATCCCCGCGCCCATGGAATTCCAAACCTCCGGGGTTGGCAAATTGGTACGTGTGGGAGGATAGCAGCACTGGCTCGATACATCGGCAGGCTACCGCGAGGCATTGTATAGGCCAGATACGCATTCAGTCACCTCTAACGATGCTTAGTGAAGTCGAATTCGTGGTGCACCTCCTGATTGAAATCGAGAGCTTTTTACAGTAGTATCTCTGACAAGACACTCCCCTCCCCTCCTCTTTAACTCCAGTTGTTACAATCACAATTTCTTTTTTTGTAAACGAATCTCTACTTGAAGCAAACTCACCAGCCATCAACAAAATCTACACCTCCTGAAGAAGAGCACAGCCAGTGCACCATATTATGAGAAAGTGCCTTCTGTTTGACACATGCTAACAATGTGGTTAGCAACGAATCTCGACAAAACTGTAATGAACAGCATCAGAACAAAAAAAATAATTTTCAAAGAATTTTTGCTATTGGTCGACTCACGGTATTCTTTCCCTCTATGTTCTCTTTTATGGAAGCAAAATTTAACTGAGACGACAGCGTCACCAACTGTTCTCTATCCAAGCCCATTAAACCATTGAACATAGAAGGAATTATGTCACATCTGATCTAAAAAAACATTCATCACCTACTCAAAAAATCGGTAACACCCACCCTAGGTATGTCATTATGGAGTCTCCAACCAGTAACAAAAAACTACATAGACTCTACTGCAAAAGAACCGTATCAAAACGACTGCGTCAGTTCTTCATCTTCAAAGATTTTCCCGTATGGGTGGCCCAAACAGCAATAATAACACTAATTTCGTGACGGAAAGGGTAAAAGAGTTAACGAGAAGACTTCTACAATACGGTAGATGCAAAAATACAGAAGAATTCAATCCGAATGCAAGCCAAACTTACGTCATCCAAGCACTTCTTAGGACATGAACTCATAACGGAGAACAATTTCAAAACAATACGAATAACGTCACTTGGTGTACCAGCGCTAAGCGAACGTGCAACAACAGAACGCCCTTTTCCGATCTGAACATGCTAATGTTAGAACCAACTGAAACATCCTCTCAGCCAACTAATGGGATTAATTAACAGGTTTACATAGAATCTTGTTGCAGTTTACATTCTACAACCTTTCCTTACTTAGAACCCTCTCAGTTTAGACATTTTGACATTGTTCGCTCTTCTAATATTGCAAAAAAAAGGCTACATTAAATGTGCCTATGCCTTTATCCAAACATGAAGTGATTATGCAAAGTCTAGAAATAACAGTACTCACCTGCAAGATCTTGAGAAAGTCATCTGTCATGAGTTCCATGAATATAACGTCAATACGTTGCGAAATTTTCGACAGAGAGATTTCGCTAAAATATCTCATTAAAAAGCTGAAGAAACCATAACACATGATTACCTCTGACATCGTGCCACAAAAAAAGCAACAATCAAAAAATCAGCAATAAGCAGCGTTGGAAAAACCTTCTTCTTACCTATTTTGCCCAGAATTTCTCAATCGCACCCGTATATCTTCACATTCAATAAGAAGTGACAAAGCAGACTCGAGTCGAAGAAGAAGAGTTCGAAGTTTTCGTTGCTTTCCGACACGTTGTGCTGCATCCTCATCAGCATTTTCTACACTTGGCTCTACACTTATCAACTGGAAACATCCAATATTATGTATCCAATATCGAAATGTGTTTACAAACAATTCTTACATGTCTTGGATTGCTAGCAGATGATCGGGAAGGCAAACCAAGCGAACCAGCAAATTTAACATTCAGCGGGACTAACTCCTTTGGTTCCTTTGTAATGTCGAACTGAGTACGAGAGCCATTGACTCGGCGTAAACGGAGTTCGTGCTCCTAAAACATTGAGAAAATATCACATCACCAATAATAACTAAGCAAAATGTCAAAACCCTCTAAACCTAATAAAACTGGAGAACGCTAATAAGTGTTACCAGCCCACCCTTTTAGGTTCCTCTGTCGACATATTTGGCGCGCTGTTGACTAGTTTAGACTTCGAACTACGAGCTATTTGTTTCTCACGCCAGTGCTAAAGGAATAATTTATCCGTTCAACACCAATGCGCATTATTATTGAAAGTACATCTTCTAAAACCTACGGTATAGTAATAATCATCATCACACGGCAAACCATTCCCTTGACACTGCAGGACCTGAATTTTGACTAGCCATTCACGCTCCTTGCAAGACATATAACCAGCAAATTGATCGAATGCCAAATCTTCTATTGTACGACCAGAAGGCATACCAGGTGGTTTTCGATGGTACTAGAAAACTTTCATTCACAAATAGCTGACATCTTCCAAGTCTAAAATTATTATTGACGAATGAATTTTCAAAAGTACTCCAACACCAAATCCTGCTCTTCCGAACATTCCAGATCAATATAAAACTACATTAGAACATTAGAATTCAGCCCGAATAAGCAATGAGAAATCGTAAAAGACAAAGTATATAAATGAAAATCTCTCTAAGAGTACTGCACTTTACCTTGATTACCGGGGTACGCCTCTCGAAACCTTTCGCAGGTGGAGGAAACGGTGGAGGAACTGACCCACCAGGTGCTGTCCTCAGCATATCCATAACGATCAGTGGGTCCTACAACTGATAAGAGTGAAAGAATCCATAAATCATTTTCCTTCAAATTTGAAAATAAAAACAGTGAAAACACAAATAAGTGAACTCATGGTGGGAATTGGGCTTAATCCTTACCTTTACAGTGTTAAACAACAATCGAAGAAGAGGTGGAATAGGTGGACACCCAGGGGGCAAATAACGAGTACGTCCTGCAAGATGTTCGAGCCATACCGGTACAAGTGGAAGCATCATTGGATGTACAGGTGGTAAAATTGGTGGCAGCTGCATCGGAGGTACTCCACCGTAAGCAGGAGGCATAACAGCAGGCTGGAATTGGATTTATTACCGTTCTATGTTGTAATTCATTAACGATTTGCAGTATTACCGTTCTCTGTTGTACTTTATTCACGGTTCTCGTCAAAGGATGAACCGGCTGCTGAATACTTGGTGTCGATCGCCGATTTCCTGCTGCAGAGACCGAAGCAGCTTCTTCAATGAATCGGCGCTCAAGATCCGTCGCGTTTACAGCATTAGAAGGAATATCGTTTGAATTGTACACTCCCCCAATAGGTGTAGCAAGAGTTAATTGATGACGTTCCAAACTATGCAACTGAAAAAAAAGCAGTGAACAAATACCTTTTAGAAAACAGCCTTTTCATTACTTAAATCGATGCTTTTACAATTCAAGTAAAGAATAAAAGTCAATCCATTAAAAGGAAGTAAACAAATTCAAACAAGACAAAATACCGTGGAATCACGAGGCATTGGAGGTAAAACAGAAGAGCGTTGCTCCATCGAATTAGTTCTGGGAGTGCTAGTAAATGCTTTAAAATTTCTACGCACAGAAGAAAGAACACAAGAGAGAGCAGGCAGTTGGTTCGATTCACCATCATCCTAGAAGAAAATTCCTTCCAAATTTCAAAAATAGTAAAGACTAAAGATAAGATAGTAGGCAGAAGTAAAGATTGCTGATTACACTGGTAGGTGAAAAACTGGCTGGGAGACAGGCTAAACGAAGGTCCTGCATGATGTGGTGGTAACGCGTTAGCCTCCGGAAATGGTAACAGCGCGTTCGTTCCCCACCGCAGACACCTGCGGTCCGGAGTTTTGCAAATATCTCAGCATTAGTGTGTTTATATCACACAATATCTTGCTGTGCAAAGACGTAACAGGCAGTAAATAAAAAAAGTTAACAACAGTAAAGACAATTTCAGTAATACTTGTAAAAACAAACGTGTGAATGCGGATGTTTTGAGGAACAGGACTCCGATGAGTGAGAGTTGGTCTTCTGTTCCGCCCAAATATCACACATATGCGAGTTCTGACTCCAAAGTGAATCGATCTTAGCCTTAAACTATCGAATTTGGGTGAAATCTGTTTTTTAGTGTGTATGCTTAATCAATAGCTATTCTATTCATACAATCTAAAAAAGAAAGGAATCTACAGAATGAAATACAACTGCCGACGTTTCAGCGATATTGGTGGGAAGAACATAACATCATTGTGCTAGCTTGTCAAAAACCAAAGTATCAGCAATGAAACAGTAAATGAAATTATATAAAAATACGGGGATTCAATAGGAAAGACGGACGTTTCACAACTGTTCTACTAGATCACCAGCAGTAATTACTAAGCACATTGGGTGGGTCAAACGGAACCTTTTTGAGATTTTACACGGGTTGGCAAAATACACACTTCTACAGCTATGGATTAAAACGAGTTAAAACACAATGAATTCGATTCCCTAAAACTCGTAATATTACTGGATCAACCAGTAAGTTGAACATCCCTGAAACCTCTAATAGACGCTAAGAAATGAATATTCGTATAAACTAGGTTCAATGCCGTTTTATGCTTCCAAACCCATTCCGCTGACGGGTGATTGCAGATGGCAGCGTTAAAAGAACAGCGTTCTTCCAAATCTTCAATCGTGGTTCGATCTGGCCCTGGGTCCAAGTTTCGCGAATATCTCAGCATCATTGTGAACGCTCATATAATTACCGATCTCTACAGGTAAAATTAACAGAGTTCGTCATAAAAGCTACCGCATACCTGAATTCTTAATTATCACCGTTATTCAAAAACCCGTGCAATTTTTTGCACATTTAAAAATTAAATGCATCTGTCAACATCGACATCGTAATGGGAAGTTCACCTTCTGACCAAATACTTAATTTCTAAGGCAAAAAACAAAAGCAACACCGGAAGAGTCAGTTCCTCATTACTCTGTCACATTGCATTGGTTACAAAAAAAATGGATGAGAAATTTCCCAAAAACTTTACGAAAATACTAACCATTGTCTCACTTCCAACGCTAGAAAACGATGGTGTCCCAAAAATATCAAAATAAGGAAGCGGGACATTCGAAGCATCAGGAGCAGGAGGCTTAGAACAACTCGGATTTTCCCATGTCTCTCCATCGTCAAGTCGTAAACAGGCTGTCTAAAAATGCCTAGAAAATGAGATTGCATGTAGGAAAAAGGGTCGAAGAAACAGCTGTATCAAAGTTGATGAAGGGAAAACTAGAAAAGAAGTCACCTGAGCGGCGTAGTCCTCCAATTCACTGTTAATCGACGCCTCGAAGTCCTCTCCAAACGTCTCGTCGTTGACGGCATCGATCTCCTCAGCTGCTCCATCACATGAATTCTCTCCACCGTCCAGAATGGAACCTGGTATAAACGTCGACCTAACTCGCAAAATTAATGTTCATGAACGATTAGAATAACTTAAATCTACAATAAATCTATATCCATAACCTATAATGATGATCCATAATCCAAAATAATAAAAAAAAGGAATAATGCCCTTGGCGATGATCAACTACTGAAGGATGCGCCTTGCATTCGACCTTATTAAGCATCGTTGGAGATGACTGAATGCATATCTGGCCTTTAGAATGACTCGTGGTGGCCCACCGATGTGTCCAGCCAGTGCTGTTACCCTTTAAGGCAAGTCTGGTACCAATCCGTCGACCCCGGAGGGAAAGAGGGCTTCGTGACCCTGGGGCGCAAAGATCGATCCCATGCATATTAAAGGTCCGATCACTGCGTTACACGCGTCCTAATCTATAACGACAATATTATAGTAATGGTAATAGTAATAATAATAATAATAATAATAATGATAACAGTAATAATGACAATAATGATAATAACAATAGTAATAATAATAGTAACAGTAAAATACTCCATAGTAAGTAAATCTACAATGCAATAACGATAGTAAGTGCATGAGAAAACTAACCCGACTAGACGATTCTAATACATGGAGATGTTGCCCAATTTTCCGAAGACACGTTTAACTCACGTAGTTTTAAATTCATTAAAAAAACACCTTTGACATGCACGTGCATGCATGTATACGTCACATATATACACACATAATCCCACGCGTATATACATATATGTACGCACGCATGTTTATACATGTGTAGCCACGCCTCAAAGCTAGAATGAAGTCAGAATCGACGTCTTCCGCAGTATGTTTTATTTCTGCTCAACTACATAGTTCTACACTATATTTCTGGGATTTTCTAAAGATAATGAGTACTACGCATACCCGATGAATGCCTGTACCACTACTTAATACTTACTTAATGAAATTCCTTAAAACTACAGAACCATACTACCTACTTTACAATACAAAACGCCAGAGCTAGAACTTACACATCATATCAAACTAGTGCCATATGAACTCACAAGACCTGTCTTTCTCTATAGTATACAATGCATATATACATACATATATTGTATATACATTCACATATGCATTTATGTAATATATCTATATATATGCATATATATATATATATACATATATATATATATATATATATATATATATATATATATATATATA